TTTCACCTCATTGAGAAATCAGAGGCCGGCGCTGCGGCTCACTAGGCTAATCCTCCGCCTGTGGCGCCGGCACACCGGGTTCTAGTCCTGGTCGGGGCGCCGGATTCTGTCCCGGTTGCCCCTCTTCCAGGCCAGCTCTCTGCTGTGGCCAGGGAGTGCAGGGGAGGATGGCCCAAGTGCTTGGGCCCTGCACCCCATGGGAGACCAGGAGAAGCACCTGGCTCCTGCCATCAGATCAGCGCGGTGCGCTGGCCACGGCAGCCATTGGAGGGTGAACCAACGGCAAAAGGAAGACCTTTCTCTCTGTCTCTCTCTCTCACTGTCCACTCTGCCTGTCAAAAAAAAAAAGACAGAGAAATAAGGAAAGAGACAAAAATTAAGCGTGGGCCATGAAGAAACTCAAGAACAGGGCGCGGAGCAGCATCTTGGGCTGTCGGCGAGCAGTGTGGTGGCACAGCCCAGCTGGGGTGGAGCAAAGGGCGGTCCACAGATGCCAGTGACTGACAGCACCCCCCCCCGGGGTGGCCGAGTGGGCCTAGGAAAACCACCCAGGGCCCCTGCACCTGCGTGGGAGACCCAGAAGAAGCTCCTGGCTTCTGATCGGCACAGCTCCGGCCATTGCGGCCATCTGGGGAGTGAACCAGTGGATGGGAGTCTCTCTGTGTAACTCTGACTTTCAAATACATAACATAAATCTTTTAAAAAAATAAAAAATAAAAAAGAGGTGGCACGCAGGAGGCAAAGCCAGTGAGCGGCTGGCTGCTCCCAGGTGCTGCGCTGTCCCAGCCCTGCTGAGTGGAAGCTGATGTGACCGGGGCAGGGGGGTGTTCAGCAGGGGCGAGCATCACTTCAGATTGGGCAGGGTCTATCAACTGGTACGTGAGGTTCCGGAACAGGTGAGTGAACCCAATAGGTGAGAACAGTTCAGGCCGTGGCTGCGCTGAGGTAACAGGCAGTCCTCGGTGTTATGGGAGACACGAGTTCTCAACCCTTTCCAATGCCTCCTTTTCACAATAATGTTTTTGGTAACACCCTTTTTATATTATTCTCCAATGAAATCTGTAATTTAGATAACCTGCCATACATCTTTTTAAAATTAACACATCCCAGCTGTGCCACGCGGGAGTGATCAAAAGAATGAGCAGTTCAACGTACGCTTAGCTCCACCTAGAAGACACCCAAGCCCGGTGGCCGTGTCTGCGTGTGGAATCACTCTGGCCGTGGTTCCAGATGTGGACACACAGACGTGTGGTCTTGAGGGTAAGTGCTGCATGATGTGACTCCCAGAGTGACCAGGCTCTGACAGCACACCGGACACACGTTTGCTTACGTGGCTTCACCCCACATGTTCCGTGTCAGCCAAACCTCACCAAACCCTGTGTCCCTGTGCTCAGTGTGCTAGTCCCAGGTCCCGGCTAGTATAGACAGGGCGTACAGACAGCGCCGTTTCTGGGGGCACTGGACGTTACATGACTGCGTGGGGCCATCCGTGAGCTGCTGTAGTCACTGTTTCTGGCCCCTGCCAACACATGCTGGCCACATCCCCATCTCCATCACCCTGACGTCCCCGCGTCTCCCCAGTCCCTCGAGCACAGTTCCCCTCCAAGACCTTTCCTGACCCAGGACAAGCCTACGGAGGACGGGACTGCAGGGCTGTGGGCGTGGCCTCATCAGTGGGGTCAGACGCACAGGGAGCCCCGAGGGCTGGTCCCCTTAGGTGGGCATGAGCAGCTGACGGCTGCAGGAGAGTGCTGGTTCCGAGAGGGGCTGACGCGGCTGCCTTCCCCGGGCTGGCGGCTCCCTGATGTCAGTGGTCCCGTGATCCCGGAGTGGCCGAGCCTGGCTGGGTAACTGGAGCACAGGACGGCAGGGCCCTGGGCGGGGGTGTAGCAGCAGCAGGGCTGAGAGCGCGTGGGAAGCCTTCCAGCCCCCGTCTCTGTCAGCCGATCAGGGGGACCTGCAGGCTCTGTGCAATCTACAAGACCAAACCAGCCGAAACCAGACAGCAGAGCCCCCTAACTGTCATTACGTCATCACAGTGCCACCCCAGAAACCCTCGGTTATCTAGACCAGCCCCACGTCACCCACAGATATAAGTGTACTGGGGAGTATTTTTCTTAAAGATTTGTTTATTTGAAAGGCAGAGTTACAGAGAGGCAGAGCAGAGAGTGAGAGAAAGGTCTCCATCCACTGGTTCACTCCCCAAATGGCTGCAACAGCTGGAGCTGGGCTGATCCGAAGTCAGGAGCTTCTTCTGGGTCTCCCACGAGGGTGCAGGGGCTCAAGGACTCAGGCCATCCTCTGCTGCTTTCCCAGGCATATTAGCAGGGAGCTGGCTGGGAAGTGGAGCAGCCGGGACTTGAACCAGTGCCCATGTGGGGTGCCGGCACTGCAGGCAGCAGCTTTAGCTGCCATGCCACAGTGCTGGCCCCGCACTGGCGCCTCTGAGCTGCACAGTCCCTGGGGACCCACTCAGCAGAGTTTGACTGGTCAGGTCTAGTTCACAGTGGGTCTCGACACAAATCCCCTCACTAAACCTGACCTTGGCGTGTGCTGGACAAACAGGTCTTAGAATCACAAGCTGAACGAGGACCAAGACCAAGCACCCCACCTTGTGCACACCGTTGGTCTATGTCAGCTGAAACCACGAGACGGAGCCGCTCCCATGTACCGGGGACGGCACCCCCTCCTTCATCTTAGCTGACGTCACATGCACCAAGAGCGGCCGCTGTCCCCCACAAGTGCACGGCCTGCCACCCCTGTGAAGAGCGGTCACCAGCGGCCTCCACACATGGGTTCCAGTTACTCGCGTACGTCAGGACGCTCCCTGCAGAAGCGGCGACACCTGGCTGCACCTTGCAGTCTGCCTGGGGAAGGCAGGACCCTTCGGGGCTCACTGCACTGTGGGGTTAGCGCGCGCCCCAAGTGCGTGCACAGCCCTGACTTCTCACTGAGGGCCCTGAGGCCACTGACTGCTGAGTGAGGCCCAAATGCAGGAAGGCACAGCTGCTCCAGGCTGTGTCCGAGGCCAAGGACACACCATGCAGGGACGGGCCTCAACCGGTGCTGTGTCAACGCCCTCGAACCCTATCGCACAGGCTCGCTCTCTCCAGCAAACAGCCGCTCCCCTCCCGCTAAGTCCCTCCCGACCAGCTATCGCGTCCTGACAAGGACTATGCTGACTGCAGGACACGAGCTGGGCGATTAGCCTGGTTACTCATCACCAGCTGGGTGTTTCAGATCTGATCCTCCCAGTGTCCCCCTGGGTGTGACCAGCACATTCCACCGCCACGCGGAGCCACCCCGAGCCTGGTCTGCAGCAGGCCCTCTGAGCCTCGGGGGAGGCTTACAGCGCACGTGCTCAGACCGTGCACCAGCCCCGACCGTGCACCGGCCCCTCCCTTGGTCCCCAGGCAGCGTCATCCAAGTCCAGTGCCGCCAGTCAGCTGAGGCAGGAAAAGTCTGACTTATCCATGAATCTGTAACACATGGTGGCACTGGCACGGAGCAGGCCTGCACCCAGCCACCTTCCTGGAAGATGGACAGTGACTGACGGCAGTGGCCGAGTGCAGGGGCATGGGAACAGCATGCACTGGATGCAAGAATGGCGCATCAGTGACAGGGGTTTGGAGGAGCTCTGGGGCTGGGCTCCGAGGAACACCAGTGGTGACTTCAGCACAGGAGGGTCCGTGCTCCGGCTGTCACCAGCCAGCGATCTCTAATCAGAGGAACAGGTGACCTCTGTGGGTCAGCCAGCTCCTTCTCCAGCCCCAGCCTAGTGGGTGTTTAATGGGCTCAAGCACAGATTAGCCAAGCCAGCACTGGGCATGGGCTCCACGGATACAGCATTAGAAACGGGCTCCCCGACCGAGGCTGCACAGGAAGAGCAGTGGCCTCGAGAAAGCAGAATCCCTCCCGTGAAAATCCCAGCGCCAGGGGTGAGCGGCTGCTTGACGCCTGCATCGGGATCCGTGTGCCTGGGTTCAAGTCCCGACTCCACCACGATCCAGCTCCCCGCTAACGCACGGCCTGGTTGGCAGCAAACAATGGCTCAAGTCCTCGGATCGCTGCCACCCACACGGGAGAGCACACTAAGCCCTGGCTCCTGGCTTTGGCCTGGCCCAGCCCCTTGCAGGCATTCGGGGAGTGACCGGGAGATGGAACACACCTGCCTGGCCGGCTGCCTCCGTCGTCCAGTGAAGCGGTTTTCCAGAACCCCAGCAGGACTCCAGGCCGACTCGGCAGCTTCAGCGTTGGAGGCTCCGCCATCTCCCCGCGTCTTTCAAAGTGTCCACCTCCCGCTTGCTTTCCTGGACTTCCTGGCGTGGTTCGAGGTGGATGCGGCGGCTCCCAGTCAGGGCCACATTTCTGCCAAGAGGAGGGAGAGGTAGGGGAAGCCCCCTGCCCCACTGGGGGCTCACGCTGGCAGCTGCACACCGCTTAGGCTCATGTCCCTTCCCTGAACTTCACCGTGAGGTCAAGCGGCAAGGGAAGCCGGGAAACCTGGTCTTCATGGGGCAGTCACGTGCACAACCAAGCGCTCCACTGTTAACAAACAACCTTGTGTAATCACGAGAGCACACACTGGGACCAGTGACTGGGCCGTCTGCTGAGCTGTGGAGCACAGACCTTGGGCTGGCCCACGTGCCCGGTGGGAGGGGGAGGCAGACGCTGGCCCCAACCCAGACGCTCCTTACCCTTCACACGCGGCTGCCGCACGGCCCCACCCCAGCACCCACAGCACGACGTCACTGTCCAGTACTCCCTGCAGCAGAGAGAAAGCGAGGCCATGAGCTGCTGGTGCCGCGACCTGCACGTCCCAGCCCTGCTTGCTGGCCTCGAGAGAGGAACGGACAGACGCAGATCTGGTGCGAGACGGGGGCAGTGGCCCTGCCCATGGTCACGCCCAGGGACCACTTCCAGCTGCGGCCACTCTGATGGTCTGAACGTCTCAGAGCGTGGAGGGGAAGCCATGTTGAGTGAGACGTGGAGCGCCACAGCGGCTGGACAGACAAGTGGGGAGCCGCTCCGTCGGCTCGTGGGAAGTCAGATCCCCGTGCCGTCCAAGGTTGTCAGTGCCGACCACCTGAGACAAATCCGTCAGTGAGGCGAGCTTCATGCCTGCAGAGGGGCACATGCGTGGCGACAGGTAAGGCATGAGGAGCCAAGGAACCGGCGGTCCTTTTTTACCCCCAAGGGGATGTGTCACTCCCCTTCGGCGGTTGGTGGAGACGTGAGGTTCACAATCCACGATCAGCTCAGTAGGACAGGGAGAGGGGAGTGTGAACCTGGAAGGCGACGTGGCCGAGTGACACTCAGGAAACCCTACAGGAACCACACTCCTTGTCGCTGGCGGGAAACCTGAAAGGTCCCCACAAAACAGCAGACCCGGAGGTGTTTTAATAGGAAGTCGGCTGTCTCACCTCCTTGAGACTGTCTTCTCCACACAGCTGAGACAGCCGACTGTGACGTCACACCCCGGGCCAGGGAATGGGCAGTCTGGACCTGGGTGTGCTCCTCGGACCACTGTGGACAGGACCAACAAAGGCACGGGGACCCCGAGACAAGGGTTGGGTCACCCTGCCTGGGGAGCGACCCTGGCTAGCTGTGGGGCTGCCTAGAGTCAGAGGAACGGGCCGTGCTGTGGAGTGGGTGGGGGCCCACCTGCAGAGACTGGCCAGCAGTGGCTGTGCAGGTTTGTCCTACGCACGCATTTACCCAAGGTGACCAGCCTTCCTCCCCCTTCCCTTCCAGCTCACGTGGCGGTGCCGATGGAGGGGAGTTTATTTCACGTGCTTGTCGGGAGTGCCTAACAGCGGGTGGTGAGCTAACCGACACAGGCAGGGCGGCACTCGGGGACGGATGCAGTGACCAAGATGGCCGGGAAGACGGTGCGGCTGCTCACGTCTCTAGGACACAGGCAGGACTCACGGCGTGTCGAGTGGGAATGTGCAGCTGGCAGAGGTGTGGGCGTGGGAGGAAGGGCGGTGGGCGCTGAGTGACCAGCACGCCGGGGCACACCCCCACGCCAGCCGTTCTCCAGAACGCAGAGGCCGGGAGGCCAGGGGCCTGGAGCTGGCAGCCGTGATGGACTCCAGTTCTTCCAGCAGTTCTCACGCTCACTACTAGGCGTCCACACAATGCATGCGGGAGCCAGAAAACAGAGGAATGACAGCGCACTGTCCCATCGTGACAGCTGTCCACCAGGCCAGGAGAGCCAGCTGTCCATGCTGGAGAAGGAAGCTGACCATGCTGTGGCCTTAGGCTCGTGCCCTCTGCCCCCTCCAAGTCCTGTGCAGAGACCCAACTCCCATGGTGATAAGGGGGTCCCTCAAGAGGCGAAGCCGTCGGCGGGGAGCCCTAGGTGTGGGATCAGTGCCCTCCTGAAGGAGGCTTGGGGGGGTGGGCGTTCGGCCCAGCAGTGGGGTGACCTCGACCTACATGAGACCGCCTGGACTCAAGTCCCAGCTCGGACGCCTGACTCCAGTTTCCTGCCAATGCCTTCTCTGGGACGCAGCAGTGATGGCTCAAGAATGCAGCTCCTGCCAGTCACATGGGAGTCCCGGATGGAGCTCCCAGCTCCCGCCTTGGGCGGAGCGCCACCCTGGCTGTCACAGGCATTGGGGAGTGAATGAGCAGAGGGCAGAGCTCTGTCTGTCTGTCTCCTCCTCCTGTCTCCCCAGCTTTCTAGTAAACAAAGCACGTTCCTTAAAGCAGAAGGCCGCATCCCTGAAGCAGGAAGCAGCTCCCAGCAGCCTCAGGACCTGCCGGTGCGTGGCCTTGCACTCCCAGCTGCAGACCACCTCCGTTGTGTGTAAGCCACCAGTCTCTGCGCTCTGCCGTGGCCGCATGCTGCACACACTGTCCAGGAAAACAAAACCGGGCGTTACCTGAGTGGTTAGGCATTCGGAAAAACCTGTGGGGAACTGGGAGACGACCTGGGAGCCCGGCACAGAGAAATGGGAGCAGATGCAGGAGGAGGCGATTCTTGCCTTTAGGACAGGAGGAAGGTTCGCAGAGGCCGCGCGTCAATATTGCACCCTCCGCGGGCAGCAGTGGGCAGCATTCACACGCTTGGATCTGAGCGTATCTGAGGCTGGGAGGACGGAGGCGCAGACGTAAACTCCTGAGAGCAGCACAGGTAAACTAGAATCCCTGCGGAAGTGAGGGAGCCGCAGCGGACTGCAGAGGCAGCGGCGAGGACCGCAGTGGCTGCCGCGCGGTCGCTGGGGGCGGGCAGGGGCTCTGCTGCTGTCCTGTGGTAGTCTTCAGAGGCCAACCCGCTCACTTCTACCTGTTACCTGAAGGAGAGAAGCTTTCAATGTTTAAATGTTGAGAGAAAATACAAAAGTCCAGCTTTCTGCTCAACAAGTTGGAGGAAAATATATATCTCAGTAAGCATAGAGAGGAACGGACAAGGCCAATGAAAAGAACAGTAAGAGCCAAACCAAGATAACAATGCAGCCTAACCACTGAGGGCCCCAGTGACGCAGAAGGAATCTGCGGCGAGAATAACAGGAGAGGCACTGGCACTGTGGCGCAGCGGGTTAACACCCTGGCCTGCAGTGCCGGCATCCCAGATGGGCGCCGGTTCTAGTCCTGGCTGCTCCACTTCCCATCCAGCCCTCTGCTGTGGCCTGGGAGAGCAGCAGAAGACAGCCCAGGTCCTTGGGCCCATGCACCCACGTGGGAGACCTGGAGGGAGCTCCTGGCTCCTTGCTTTGGATCGGGGCAGCTCTGGCTATTGCAGCCAGTTGGGGAGTGAACCAGTGGATGGAAGACCTCTCTCTCTCTCTGCCTCTCCTTTTCTCTCTTTCAAATAAATAGATAAATCTTTTTTTAAAAAAAAAAGAATTAACGGGAGGAAAGTGGGCGGAAGTCACTGAACCCCACTGGAACAGGAGGGGTCGCCTGCCTGTGGCTGTGAGGCCGCACTTTCTCAGAAAGCACTGTTCACTACTGCGCAGAACGAGTCTGAGCAGCTGTTCGAAAGGGTGATTCTCCAGGACTGCACTGTGGGTGCTCCCTTCAACTCAGTGTCCAGGCAAAGAACAGAAACCACAGCAGAAACTGGGGTCTGGGGACAGGCCAGCTGTGTGCGGCTCACCCAGGGGCTTCAGCCACTGCTGTGCTGTCGAAAGCTTCAGGAGTATATGGTAACGAGTCTTCCCACCCCACTCCAGGAATCTGACTTCACCACGGTGCTAGTTCTAAATACAACTGCAGCACGCCCAGAGGAAAGCTGTGGGCAACAGCACCATGGAGCAAAGCTGCAAAAATACTAAAAACAAACAAACAAACACCAAAACCAAAACCACAAAACTTACATCGCAAAGTACATGGAGGATGAATACATTCTCTTAATTAGATTTACCACAGGAATATAAACATGCATCAACCCTACATAATCCAAACAAGAAGCTGCCTACACTGCCAGGTTAGAGATGAAAGAAAGTGACCCTCTCACAACATGATGGAAGAACACAATAAAATTCCACATCTGCAAAGACCCTTTCGTAAGGCAGGACAGAAATCAATAAAAGTAATTCTATGTTTGCTGTAGCAGACACCATATCTAATGGTGTGGCATTAAGTGTACCTCTAGTCCAGTCCAGAGAACACAGAGATTACTATCACTCACACTGGACGGGAGGCCCTCACCACTGTGGTAAGGAGAAAATGAAAGATAAATGTTGAACAAAAACAATTATCTATAGACAATGTGTGCCAATAATAACCACTTAGAAAACGTGACTGACGAAAGACTGTGGCAGAACACACAGAAAAGGCTGTACGAAGCCCAAGTTTACATCCACCGAGACAGCATCACCAGGGCCGGCACTGTGGTCCCGCAGGGGCAGGTGCTGCCTGTGACACTGGCACCCCACACCCGCTGGCTCCTCCCCTTCAGAGCCAGCCCCTGCTAATGGGCCTGGGAGAGTGCTTGGGCCCCTGCCACCTGTGTGGGAGACCTGAGTGGAGACCTTGGCCTGGACCAGCTCCAGCTGTTGCAACCATTTGGAGAGTGAACCCTGGGGCGGGTGATCTCTCTGTCTTTCAAATAAGCATGTATTTTTATAAAAAATCAGGAAGCCGGCGCTCTGGTGTAGCAGACTAAGCTGCTCCCGCAGCACAGCATCCCATACAGGCGCTGCTTTGAGTCCCTGTTGTTCCACTTCCAATCCCGCTCCCTGTTAATGTGCCTGGAAAAGCAGAAGATGGCCCAAGTGCTTGGCCCCCGCACCCATGTGTGAGACCTGGATGAAGTTTTCCTCGCTCCTAGCTTTGTTCTGGTCCAGCCTTGGCTGTTGTGGCCACTTGGGGAGTGAACCATCGGATGGAAGACATCTCTCTCTTTCTGTAACTGACTTTCAAATAAATTAAAATAAAATCTTTTTTTTTAATAAGGAAGTTGGGGCTGGCACTGTGGCTTAGTGGGTAAAGCTGCCGCCTGCAGGGCCAGTATCTGATATGGGCGCCAATTCAAGTCCTGGCTGCTCCATTTCCGATCCAGCTCTCTGCTATGGCTTGGGAAAGCAGTGGAAGATGGACCAAGTGATTGGGCCCCTACACCCACGTGGGAGACCTGCAGGAAGCTCCTGGCTTCAGACTGGCACAGCTCTGGCTGTTGCGGCCATCTGGGGACTGAACCAGCAGATGGAAGACCTGTCTCTCGCTCTGCCTCTGCTTCTCTGTAACTGCCTTTCAAATAAATAAATAAAATCTTTTTTAAAAAATCAGGAAGTTAACACTAAGATCTCCGCTGTTGACACAGGGCTGTCCAGAGCTGTGGTGTCTTCTAACGCACGCATCCCTCGGACCTTCTCCACGTTCGCCACCTGGACGTGTCCGAGTCACTGCCCAGGGGTCGCTGACCGTCTCCCTCGTGGGTTCAGACGGCGCACCGCTGTCAGGCGCACCACAGGGGTGCCGCTCTGCTCTCCTTCTGTCCAAACAGGGGCATGGAGTCTTCACTGCTCCCTGGCTGCTGAGGCCATTTAGGGAGCGAACCAGTGGGCGGGAGAGCACTCCCTCTCTCATTTTTTTCTTTCAAAAGGAAAAAGAAAGAGCTTAAGTCACTGCTTGGGACGCCTGGACCCGACTCCGCAGCGCTGGCTCACGTCCCAGCGCCCCCACTTCTGATCCAGCTTCCTTGCCAGAGTGCCTCGGAGGCTGCAGTAATGGCTCAAGTGCTTGGGCCCAGCCACTCCCATGGGAGACCCGAGGGAGCTCCAGGCTCCTGCCTTCAGCCAGGCCCAGCCCTGGCTACTGTGGGAACCTGGGGAGTGAACCAACAGATGGAAGGACCATCTCCCATTTTTCCCCATTGCTCTGCCTTTTCAAATAAATGAATCAGCCTTAACATTGTTTATGAAGAACAAGTCAACCATGTTTTTAAAAGCACAAATATTTTTATTTTTAAATAGGGATTGGGGCCGGCACCGTGGCTCACTTGGGTAATCCTCCGCCTTGCAGCGCCAGCATCCCATATGGACGCCGGGTTCTAGTCCCAGTTGCTCCTCTTCCAGTCCAGCTCTCCGCTGTGGCCCAGAAAAGCAGTGGAGGATGGCCCAAGTGCTTGGGTGCCTGCACCCGCATGGGAGACCAGGAAGAAACACCTGGCTCCTGGCTTCGGGTTGGCACAGCGCTGGCCGTAGTGGCCATTTCGGGGGGTGAACCAACGGAAGGAAGACCTTTCTCTCTGTCTCTCTCACTGTCTGTAACTCTACCTGTCAAATAAAAAAAAAACAAAAAAAATAAACATAGGCATTGACAGAATCTTTTTCTTTTTTTAAAAAAATGTGGCTTTATTTATTTGAGAGGCAGAGTTACAGAAAGAGAGAGGTAGAGACAGAGAGAGGTCTTCCATCTGGTGGTTCACTCCCCAAATGGCCACGACAGCTGGAGCTGAGCAGATCCGAAGCCAGGAGCCTCCTGCAGGTCTCCCATGCAGGCGCAGGGGCCCAAGCACTTGGGCCATCTTCCACTGCTTTCCCAGGCCACAGTAGGGAGCTGGATGGGAAGTGGAGCAGCCGGGACTCAAATCTGTGCTCACGTGGGATGCCGCACCACAGGTGGAGGCTTTACCTAGCACGCCACCGCACTGGCCCTGACAGATTTTTTTCATAAAGGAAATAACACAATATTTCAGAGGAAACTGGTTTATTTTTACATTTTCTTAAGGTTTTCTTTTTTAAGCATCCTATTGTTTAAATATGTAACGTAAACTCTTACTATAAAAATAACACTTCCTTCCCCTAAGCACCAATGTATTTATTTTTTCCTCTTTGGCAAATGCTGATTTGAGGCTTTCAAGCTTTTCACACTAGAGCTGAAGTCAGCGGCCCTGCCGCTGAGGACTGAGGCCAACACACACTTTCCAGGATAATCAGCCCCTTCTCGCAGCTGCCGCTTGGTGAGTGCAGGTTGTGTGCAGGTGGAAGGCAAGCCCGAGGGGGAAGGCTGGGCCGGCACTGCGATGCGGGCATCCTCTGGGAGCGCTGCTCCACTTCCCATCCAGCTCCCTGCTGATGCACCCAGGAACGCAGTGGGAGATGGCCCAGTGCAGGAATCCCTGCTACCCAGGTGGGAGCCCAGAATGGAAGTCCAGGCTCCTGGCTTCAGCCAGGCCCAGCTCTGACTGCTGCAGCCATTTAGGGAGTGAACCAGCAGATGGGAGACCTCTGTCCTGTCTCTCTGTAACTCTGCCTTTCAAACAGAAAAATCTTTAAAAAAGAAAGAAATAAAAAGAGCAAGGGGGTAAAGATGGAATGACTCCTCTCCCATGGTAAATTTTATGCTGAGTCTATTTGTGCTCAAACACGAGACAGTCATCGGGGGCAGGCACGCAGCACGGAAGCTGAGATGCCACTTGGGACGCAGCCACCCCGCATCGGAGCGCCCGGAATTCCAATTCCTGCTTCCCTGCCCCTGTGCTCCCTGGGAGGCAGCAGGTAATGGCTCAAGTATTTGGGTCCCTGCCATTCCCGTGGGAGGCTTGGATGGAGTCCCCAGCTCCCGGCTTTGGCCTGCACCAGCCCTGGCGCCGTGGCCATCTGAGGGGTGAGCCAACAGCCCGGAGCTCGGTCTCTGTCTCGCAGATAAACACAAATTCTCCCAGAGGAGAGCTGCGCAGGAGCTCCAGGGGCGCAGTCGATCAGCGCGCGGTGCTCAGACAGAAGAGCCGCGCTCCAGCACGGGGCCCCTCCCACTTGCACCTGCTCACACCGACACCTGCGTCGGCTCCTCCCGCCTTTTAAGGCCGATTCTAAGTAAGCTGACTCCGTGTGAGACCCCCAAGACCTCGGATTTAAGACAACAAAAGCCCGCAGTTTATCATTCCTGACTTAATCACACTGCCTTTTAGATCCTGCAGCTGCTGGGGGTCTCCAGCTCCACCCCGTGCTGAGGGGACGCAGGGGACACTGCCTCCTAGGAGGTGGGTGGTGTCCAGTCCTGCGTCCCAGGGACACAAGGCAGTGGAGGCCTGAGTGGCAGCATTTTCATTGATGTCATTATGTAACTTAATTTCAAAAGTGACCCAAGCCAACGAATACGGAAGGAAAGCTTTCGGTGGACGGTGTCACTTCACTTCCTCGCCGTCAGATGTGACGTGGTGAGATGAACCAGCACACAGAACCACGGCACAGGGCAGTCAGGCACCTAGGCCGCTCCAGGACCCTGTACTACGTAGAAACGTGTCGTGGGTGTGAGGAAGCGTGTCACAGACACGGAACTGAAAAATGAAGAGAAGCTGATGAAAAGCTAACAATAGAAAAACTACAACAAACCCCCGAGAAATGCCATCAGCAACTCAAAGTTCTTAGCCCAAGCAGTTTACCAAAGGCAGTAACCGAAGGGATGCTGGGTTGGGGCCCTGGCCTCAGTGCCGCCATTCCATGTGGGCACTGGTTCGAGTCCCAGCTGCTCCATTTCCAATCCAGCTCTCTGCCAGTGCACCTGGGAAAGCAGCAGAGGATGGCCTAAGTCCTTGGGCTCCTGCACCGACGTGGGAGACCTGGAAGAAGCTTCGGGTCGTCTCAGTTCTAGCCATTTGGGGAGTGAACGAGCAGATGGAAGATCTCTCTCTGTAACTCTTTTAAATAAATCTTAAGAACAAAAGGGATGTGGGGTTGTGGCAGGTGACGTTATGGCTGTAGACGTCACTGAAGCCGTGAAGGAACCAAGAGGTGCTCGGGGTGCCCACCGCGCCCGGCCCGAGTCTGCGCAGCCGCATCTGCAGGCCTGGCTGTGGGGCTGGCGTCACAGGACCCTCGGCGCCGGCCAGCACCAGTGCTGACG